GGGGGGGGAACGTTGATAGGCCAAAAGAGATGAGGATTGGGACCATGTAAGCACTTGGTTGGGGCTGTCCATTCTCTCTTAAGGTCAAATGGCAAGCGTCAGAGCCTCAAAAGTCCAGCCGAACTTCATAAAGTGAAAATCAACCCAACGGAGTCAGAAAAATGAGTATAGTGCAATGAGGAATCGAAAAATCAAAATGGTGCAATTGGTATTCCATTGCACTGAGGAGTTGAAAAATTAGACTGATGGAATTAAGATCCTATTATTACTCTTGCAAAGCTGGGAGGCAAGTGCACTATTTTGAGAAATTTAGAAAATAAAAGTAAATAAAATTGAAAAGAAAAATACCTGAAGGTAGAAACCCCCCGTTGGTTTATTTCGAGGGTAACATGACCTCTTAAACATTTTAAAATAAAATTTATCACAATTATTAGATATCTTTTCCATTCATCTAATATTTTTAAATACAAATAAATAACACTTAAAAGATAGCTAATAAATTCATTTACCACACTATCTAGATAACTACCTAAAAAATCTATTAATACTATATCACTAGCACACTGACTAATTCAAACTCTTAATACTAGCTTATAAAATATAAAAAATACACACATAAAAAAAATCGACTAATTAATAATACTCAATATATTTAATAGTGGAAGATTGATCTTGATACAAACTCATAAAATTTAAAATCGCCCAGGAAAAAGGGAACATTATAATCTTTCCATGTCAAACCATCTTTGACAAAATCATTTCTGCTTGATCTTATGCATGTTTTTATCTGAATATCATTCTTTTCAAAATGTGCCAACACATAAAATGAAGTGCTTGAAAATTCTGTAAAACCCTAGGTCGGAAAATCACCATTTGGTTCTTAGTCATATCACAAAGCTAAGCAAAGCAAAGCAGGAGGGGGATGACTGTCATAGAATGCATGAGAAATACACGAGAAGGTCTGACAGTGTGCGGTGTCTTTTACACGTAGCACCCGACATTGGTCCGTCATTAGTCGACACGTGAAATTAATCTACATGGTCAATGCTTCCATCCGACGTGGCTGTCCCTGTCGGACATTGGAATTAATTAGGTTTACTTGGAGGCACTAGATCTCTTGGAGAAAATTTTCGGTGATTATAAGACGAGACAATGCGTGACAATGTTTATGTGTTACCTAATAGTTTGAAAATGTATAATATTTATGAGTGATTTATATAATATAGAATTACTATGCAGTGTATGGTGAGTATCGATTATTTTTCCTCTCTTCTTAGAAGTAAAGTTATTGGGACTTAATTTGTTGTTTGGATTAACTGTGGATCCCGTCAAATATTAAAATTTAGTATTGATTTAATGATTTCATTAGAGTTACATCATTAAATCAATAAATTAGATTAAATTTTTAGATTAAAATAATATTACCCCTCTTCGTAGATGTGAACTACAACCCCCTCTACAACCCAATCTGGATTTCATGCCCTTATTGGCAGTACAATGGATTGAGCTTTCTGCCCCTGTTAGAAGAGACTAGCACAATTGGATCTGCTAAGTTTACTGGATATAAACAGAGGAGTCAGGTTTGCAATTGTCAGTTTTGCTCAAAGCTGGTTTCCAACTTATTCGTCTCTTGATCATGGAATGCTCAATACTCTAGGCTCTGAGACGGTTGTACCCAATGAACTGCATGTAGTGAGGTTTGAGAGATAAGTGGCAAGCAATTTTAGCTCGTTTTAAGAGACTGATTCTCGATTTGAATTCAAACTCGTGTCACAGCTTGGAAAGATGAACAATGCCATGACGGAATGTTTTACAGTAATATAGGCAAAGTTTCTATTTAACTAAAATATTTTTTATTTCTGCTCCAATACAGTGTTAAGTCTAAGCAGCACAGCTCAACTACTTTGGGTTAGCATGAAGAAGAAAATAGCTTAGTTCCTCTCCCGGATGTGTTTTTGGTCTCCTTGCAAACCAAAGGTAAGTGGAATCCTAGTGTTAGCTCTATATTAACCTCTAGCTATTGCTTGGCCAAAACACAAAATTGCNACTTTGGGTTAGCATGAAGAAGAAAATAGCTTAGTTCCTCTCCCGGATGTGTTTTTGCTCTCCTTGCAAACCAAAGGTAAGTGGAATCCTATGGTAGCTCTATATTAACCTCTAGCTATTGCTTGGCCAAAACACAAAATTGTCTTGACAGTGAAATTATCATAACTCTATTTATATTTCGCTTAGGAAGCAAATCAGGAAACTGAACCCTTTTCTTTTTTTTCTTTTTAAAATTAATGTGATAGCAAAAGATGTTTCTACAGTTTTGCATTGGAGAGGAAGAAGAAACGTGTTCGGCTAAACGGATTATGATCAACTGATATTTTTCACTCTTTCCAAGCATGTGAACTGAGTTTTCTTCATTTTTTTCACTCTCTTTGCAAGCATGTTATTTAAATATTCAGACTTGGAATGACAAGGCTAATAGTCCAAAATTGTCAGCTACTGAATTTGATGAATAAAGCTCCGTGGCAAACCCTAACGCCGGATAAAAAAGTAGAAGAACTGAGGGTTGGATAGATGAAAAATTGGAAGGATAAATAAAATATCATGTTTAGTAAGAAAAAAAAATATAAATGATGAAAAAGTGGATGGATTAATTTTTCTTTCAACTCATCAAAATTAATCCCTCCAAAATTGGAATGAAAGTGGATGAAAAGTTATTTATTTGTATTAAAATGTATCTTATTTGCCTATATATATATTTTCATCTTAGTTAGGGCACGAATACGAATATAAATACGACACGAAAATAAACAGGTCAATTCACAACTTGACACGACACAATTGGTTAAATGAGTTGAGTTAAATTTGACTAATGTTCAGACAAATCTGTAATGATTCAACAAAAATCTGACACGACACGAATTAATTGTCAACCCTAATTTTAACTTGCACAAAAAAAAAATTAAACATTTTTTATTTTTCATCCATTCTACCAAACACAAAGGAAAGAAAGTGTATTATTCCTACTTTCCTTCCTCGAATGATAGAAAATATATCTTTCCTATTTTCTTTTCTCGAATGTATTAAGATGTATCTTATTTATCTATATATTTTTGATATATATATATATTATGTATAAATTAATTTTATATAAAAATACAATAATAAAACATGTATATATATATATATATTAAAATTTTTAAAAATAAATTTAAAAATAAAAATTTTAAATTAAAAAAATATTTTTTCATCTTAGCTAAGGCACGAATACGAACACGAACACGATTGAAAAAGAAACAAGTTAACTCACAACTCGACACGACATAATTAATTAAATGAGTTGAGTTAAGTTTAACTAATATTCGAGACAAACCCCATAATGATTCAACACAAATCTAACATAACAAGACTCAATTGTTACCCTTAATTTTAGTTGGCACAAAAAAAAAAAAATAATTTTTATTTTTCATTCATTCTATCAAATACAAAGGAAAAAAAAAATGTATCATTTATATTTTCCCTTCTCGAAGTATAAAAAGTATACCCTTCTTACTTTCTATCGTTCTTATTTTCTATTGTTTCTAACAAATGGAGCATAAAAAAAGAACTAATCACACAAACAAACACATGGTAGTTGATGAATCTCAAACAATATTATCATGTAGAGTTAAAAAAACCCAAAATTTGGTGGTTTCCCACTTTTTCAAAGGCGGCCATTATTTGTATGTCTGTAAGTGTGTATGTGTGTGTGTGCGCGCGCGTGTGAGAGAGAGAGAGAGAGTAGGTTGCCTCCAAAG